GGGCAAAGCCCAGTGTGAGGCTTTGTAAACTCAACTCTGACTGTCTATTCCCACTTAGAAATCCTAGACAGAGAAAAGGCCAGATTCCTTTTATTTATTTTTTAGCAAATATCTACCAGCTAGAAACTGCAGAAATGAGATTTGAGTATTCTCACTGAAAGGGAAAAGCATCTGCCCTGATTTATTTTCTAAAATGTCATTCTAAGAGGATAGCAGTAGGTAGTCTTTGCCTAGAACTTAGAATATAAAGATGACCCGTGGCTTGAAAACACAAATCTTGGAGTAGAGACAGGAGGGTAGGTTTGAAGAGCAAAGAAAAAGTGGGGAAGTGGGGGAGCAAGTGTTCTCCATTGTCACCGATTCCGAAGGCCTCTGCACCATTCCAGGAAGTTAGAACAAGTATCAGCCTGGACTTCCCCTCACTTCCCCTCCCCCTCTTGCCTTTTCTCTCCCCTCGCTCCCTCCTGCCTCTCCATCCCCTTTCTTCTTTCCCAGAAGGAGCCTACTCTTTTCTTTGTTTTCATCTTTGAAAAGAGCAGCAAGCCTTGTTGACTATTTTTGTTCCCTCTTTCTTTCCTTAAGCTAAAGAGGCAGCTACAATGTAACTTGAACTCTGGTGAGAGCAAAGCATAGGGCATGTTTGCTGTGATTTTTCAAAATGAAGTCTTTCTTCATGTTTGCTGTGCTTGAGGTCTACCTAGAGTCCTCTTTAGGGTAATGATGGGGACGTTCCTCGGGGCGAACTCATTTCCCTTACTCATTTTAAAATACACCTGTTCTGTTTGTCTTTTCACATTGGTCACAGCGAGACTTAAAATAGAGACTCATCATTACCCACTTAAGGGTTATGAATAGCACTGCCTTGAAAAGGCCTGGTGGAAATGTGTGTGGAAATTGAAAGTGATACGTCAGACTCAGAAGCTAGGGAGGCAGACACAAAGACTATGTTGGAGGCCAACTTGCCTAAATATTCTGAGCATGGAACATGGTGTGACTCCCCCCTGGCCGTGCTCACGGTCAGATGCCCGGCATCAATTCTAGGTGGAGAAGTGAATTTGAAGGGTGATGTGGCTCCATGACTTAGCAGAGTCTAGCAAACAAAATAGGGTAGTAACCTGGAGGCCATCCTCAGCACTGTGGTAGGTTGTATTATTGACCCCATTCTTCACCCCTCCCTGTACCTGTGCCCTTGGCCAGGTGGCTTTGAAGTCCCTGATACCGAGGCAGAGTGTACTTCTTCACCCCTTGACATGGGCTTGGTCCACCTTCTCCTGGTGGAATGCCAGTAGAAGGGACGTGTCACCTCCAATCCAAAGCCTCGAGAAGCTTTGTATGCTCCCACTTGTCCTTGCCCTGAGAAGAACATGATATGGCTAACCCTCTGTTCAGGAAAGAGTGAGAAATAAGTAACAGAGAGAAGACAAAGTAACTGAGCTGAGGCTGGATCAGCCAAACCCCCACTGATCTGAAGATTTCTGAGTGAGAGTAAAAGAAAGCTACTTTGAGCGCTGGAGTTGGCGCGTATTTGTTACGCAGCATTACTGTGGGAATCCCTGACCCATCCTAAACGTGGCCTGTCTGAAGGAGGCACACGAATAACAGTGACGAAAAAGGAGAAAGCGAGTAGATACGGTTTTCTGAAGATGAGGTAAGCCCTGTGTGCACGGCCACACGAAGGGCTGGCATTGCTCCCCATTTTGAATATCCCACCCCTTAACTGGGTCTTGGTCAAGGGTGAAGGGGGTTGCAGAATTCTGCCTGCAGAATTCCTGGCCATATTGGAAACCACAAGTTCAAGTTCAATGATGACAGGCATTGGCTTCATTGGGAAGCAACAAACGTGTGAATTTTCATTTCAAAGGATGTCAGGTATTTAAGTAAGAAAAGACCTTTGAGATGACCTACGCCTGACAGAAGTTGAATCACAAGCTACTCACAAGGCAAGCTGTTCAATGACAGGTCGAGTGCATCAGTTGAAAGGTTAGATTCTTGCTGAAATTTGCCTTTTAACTTTACCCCTTGTTCTCAACCCCTCCTTCTAAAAGCCAGAGAATGAGCCTCTTGACTCTTCCAGTATGGTATGTGAAAACACAGCTGTGCACCTGCAGTCTTTCCCACAAAAAACTCCGAGTTTCTTCACAATTTTATGTTGACATGCCACGCATCTTTCTGATCCCTCTCTTCCAGACACTCACTTGCTGGTCCATACCCTCATAAAACATGAAGCGCAGCGTTAGAGACAATCCTCAAGGTGTCTGTGCAACACTGCTACGTAGACGACAGCCTAATTACTTGTTATCTGGGCATATTATTCGCAATCACTTATGCGTATTAAGTGAAACACTTTTTTCTTTCTGTTAAACTAATTTGGTTTCCCCTCTGAAGATCTTCCTTTGCTTCAAGGAGAACGATGATGAAATCCAAGCCATCTAATTCCATGCTCATGGTCTTTCGACCATCCTCACTCCCTCATTTCACTTCATTTGGGAAGGGAAAGGCCCATTTATGTCATAGGAATAGTCATGGGTCATTGTTCTCCCATTCTGTACACCAAACACAAAGGTACCTTGTTGCCCACTTTGAGTGAAAATGGCTCTCACTATGTCACGTTACAAATGCATCAGCTGGAATATAATACAACAGTCGCAGGACAGGCATCAGAGCCAGGAAGAAAAGGAATCAACAGAGGCCAGTCTTGTGATCAGCCGAGGTTTTCTTCTGTTGTTGTGGTGGACACTGTCCATGCCCTGCCTGGATACCCTGCCCTGCCCGGATACCCTCTCCTGGGTGTGCACAGGCAGAGAATGCCCTCCCAGAGACGATCACTTCCTAATCCCCAGAACTGGTGAACATGCTACGTTACCTGGCCAGGGAAAAATCAAGGCTGCAGGTGGAAGTAAGGCTGCTCATCAGGTGACCTTGAGATGGTAAGATTGGCCTGGTTTACCCAGGTGGGTCCACTGTAATCACAAGGGTCCTTGGGAAAGAGGGAGAGTCAGGACCAAAGGCAGTGTGAGAAAGACGTGACCTGCCATTGCTGACTGAATGTGGGAAGGGGCCACAGGCCAAGGCGTGGCAGCCTCTGGAAGCTGGAAAAGGCAAGAGGTTTCTCCCCTAGAGTCTCCAGAAAGGAAGCCAACCCTACTGACACATTGGTTTTAGCCCAGTGAGACCCATCGAAGACTTTTGGCCTCCAGAACTGTAAGGTGATAAATCTGTGTTGTTGTTAAGCCACTAAGTGTGTGGTCATTTGTTACCACAGCAAAAAACCACTAACGCGTTGGCGGGAAATGTATGTGCTGGTTGCTAATGACTCAAGTTACCCTCTTCTCCTGAACATTTCCGTCAGCAGCACACGCGCCACCTCCAAAGCCCAGAGAGGCCAGGATACAGAGGCTGGTCCCAGGGTAGGACCACCTGGCAATTCACAGGCCAGAGCGCCCTGCTTATCAGGAGTGAGACCTCAGCTGAGACCACGCCCTTGTTCAGCTCCTTCCCTGCCCTGTCACGTCCCCCCTCCCTTCTCCTGACAGCACCCCCCCAATCAATTAGGTGCACTTGGATCCCCTCTCAGGCTCTGCTTCTAGGGAGTCTGACCCAAGACAACTGTCATACTCAGAAGAGATGCCAGGGCCACAGGAAAATGGCGCTGAGGGGAAACGGGGGGTCAGGAGGAGGGCTGTGTGTCAGGGTAGGGGGAGGGGAGCTGGCCCCTGGCCCCCAGGTGGACCATCTTAAGTGAACACTCTTGATCATAAGTGTTCTTCCCGGGACCATTCACTGCCAAGCCCGCAGCTGGAGCGTCCAGGCTGTAGGTGCGCAGGAGCCACCACGCAGGCCTGGCACGGGGACCACGGCTGGGAAGGCCTGCCTCCGGCTGCGGATTTGAATGGTTCCACGTCTGCAGTATCAGGACGGTCTCAGGAAGACAGTCCACAGCTGGATCGGCCTGGTATCTTCTGATTTTCAGCCTCATTTTCCTCTCCTGATCCCAGGCTCTGCCCTTTACCTTCTCCTAGTGGGGTTATGAGGCGGGTCTGTCCTCACACCCCTGAGAGCAGACATGCGCCTGTCTCCTTCCCTCTTCTCTCTTGTTCTGCGGTGACGGGCCAGTTACCAGGATATACCGCTGTTCCTGGAGCCCCTGGTTTAAATCCACCGAGTCCCGCCCACGTTCCCTTTACGTTTGCCTCCACCTGTTCGGTCATCTTGCCACGGGGGATGCAGAAGGGGGTGAACTGTGGCATCTCCATGCCGTGGCTCTGAATGGCATGCGTTTTCCTTCTAGCTGGGACATTGTATAGGTCACTCTCTTCTTCTGGGTACAACCCCTAAGACCCTCCGGCTACCACCATTTCTCCGAGATACCACAAGAGAGTTCTTTCCAGGTCTAGAGTTATAATGGTGGCTGGACCACGTTTTCTGCCTGGTTCAGTACCTCTCCGAGGTCCCCTAGTTCTAGAATCACCCCCCCCCCCACACACACCTGCCTGTCTGGGTCATTCACCTGTAACTCACCAAGCAACAGTCCCCTCCCAGGCTACCCCAGATGGACATCCCGTGCACACAGCAGGGAATGCTGGGATGCCCACTTAGACCCCGCCGCCTCCTACTGTTTCCCCTCCGCTAACTGCCCTTGGCTAAACAGAGCTGCGTTGTTCAATGTCCCTTCCTCGGGGCCTCCCATACTCACCAAGAGGTGGTGCAGGGGTACAAAGTCCTAGACCTCCCGCCTCAATGCAAAGGGGACTATAAAGGGTTAGTGCTCCCCGGGGGAAAGGCTGAAAGTTTTGTTACAACTATTTCACAACCCGACTTCTCCCGCTGTTCCGACCTGCTTCCCTTACCTTTTCACAACACTGTCCCCCAAGATGCTCCGGAACAACCTCCCCTCACATGCATCTCTGATGCAGTCTGTCTGCGGGAACCTGGACCCATGCTCCACCACCCTCCCCTGGCTTTCTGGCTGGGGCCTGAGGAAGCAGCAGGGGAAGACTTACCCACGATCATGTGGTTGCAGACGTCACAGAAAGTGGGCTTCTTGAAGATGTGCTCCTGAAAGCCATGGGCCTTGCTGCCGCCGGGGTGCAGGCCAGCCCTGGTGGGTGTGGACGTCAGGCTCCCTGGGGCGGGGAGTGGGCTGGAGCTGGGGCTGACCTCAGCCAGCTTGTCCCCTTGCAGCTTCACGTCGCTGTTCGTTCGCTGGAAGAAGTTGTCAGCACTTTTGCTCCGTAGACTCTTGGTCTTGAAAGAAAGTGATCGTTTTAGTTTCTGGAGCTGCAATGCAACGACAGAACAGACGCTCTTACGATCGATCGTGCAGACTCATGCTGGGGTGGTGGCCGCTCCATGCACTGCTCTGGTCCCCCTGACTCCCTCGGCCCCCCGAGGCTCATGACGTCCCTGTGCTGGAGGGAGCTCGGCAGCCAGACTACAGAAAGAAGTTCTGTGTTGCCTTAGCTTCTGCTCCTGTCCCTCCTCCCTGCCTCCTTGAGGGCCCTCCAGTGTGCTGTCAAAATGCCCCACGACATTGGGTTTGAACACCATTTGCCTTTCGAATTTGAATCATGGAATTATTACATGTACACACTCTTGGGCTCAAAGGCCGGGTGTGTAATGCCAGGGCCTCTGCTGGCCTTTCTCTCTCCTGGTCACTTAGCAGCCGTTTGTCTCTTTACACAGCAAAGCGACTGTCAGACTCAGAATCAATCTGGCTAAGTTATCCAGGGAATACAGACCAGAAACTCTCAGGCCTGCTTGGGTCTGAAGCATATGGATAAGTAACGTGTGTGTGCATGTGCATGTGTGTATGTGTATGTGTGTATGTGTGTGTATATGTGTGTGCGTGTGCATCCGTATATGTGTGTGTCTGTGCATGCATGTGTATGTGTGCATGTGTGCATGTGTGTGTATATGTGTGTGCATGCGTATGTGTGTGTCTGTGCATGCGTGTGTATGTGTGTGCATGCGTGTGTATGTGTGTCTGTGCATATGTGTGTGTGTCTGAGGAGGACACAACATGGAATTATCTATTTGACATTCTCTGCTCTTTCCCTTGCCCTGCTTGTTTTTGCCCATTTGGCAAACTAGACTCTTTCCCCTTTGCCTTTGGGACTCATGAAGAGGCTTAGAAAAGTTCTAACTTCCAAAAGTCTGGGTTTGGCCCAGTCCGAACCTCCAGTCCAGTCCTCGCATTGGAGCTGAAAGGATCTTTTGGAAACACAGCATTTAAAATCCTTTATGAAGTTTCCTTTGTTCTTTAATTTAAAGAAAAGCTCATTGTCATGGGCTCCAGCGACTGGCAAATTCCGGATCCCAAATGACAGCAGTGGCCTTTTAAAAGTCTCTGGTATTTACTATGCATTTTTATCACCAGCCCCTAGCACACAGTTTTCCCTCTGCCTAGATAAAAGAAATGAACCACTTAATAGCTACCTGACCTGTAATAGGTCACTTTGCCTTTAAGATGGTTCCTTTTGTAATTGAATATCCATGGGGACTTGGCCTATTGACTGAAATGAATGGCCATGGCCTACAGCTGCAGACAAAAGGTGCTAAGCACATCACTCTAATAAAGGCCTGCATCAAGTGTGGTCAAACACCCGACAGGCACAGAAGGTGGTTGATCGGGCCTGCCACGCCTAGCCACTTCTGCACCAACCCCTCATCTTCTCCCGAAAAAGATCAGGAAGATGTGATCTTTAGTGCTGGCGGGTAGACTTCAAAAATGCCACAGTTCTCTACCTTCCCCTTTCCCGTTCCCCTCTGCACTGTGACTTTCCAGCTCCTCCATCAAAGGCGGTGCATGTTTCCCCACTCCTTGAATCTTGTTGGTTTGGAGAATTTGATCAATAGCAAGTGGCAGAAGTGACTGTAAGCCGGTTCCAAGCCCAGACTGCAAGGTGCCTTGCATGCTTCTGTCATCCCTCTTGGAGATGTGCCAAACTGCCGTATGACAAACCCAACTGAGCCTGAAGGATGATATGAGACACATGGTCCAATCCACTGAGACCCCAGAAGCACTTGCTTCCCTGTGAGGACTGACGGAGTCTAGACAAGACCCGAAGAACTATCTAGCTGGGTCCCACTCAAATGATCAACCCACAGAACCTTCAACTAAAGAGATGGCTAGTCTTTGAAACCATTACGCTGGGTATATGTTGTGTGTACACAACACAATGCTGTTCTCCCCACTTTCCTGGTACGTCATGGGAATGTACCTTGTTGCTCATTTGAAGTTGACTGTGGCCGTGCGAGGCCAGCTCTCCACCCCAGGTAGCACACAGAGGGGAGGCCCTGCAGGGCACCTCTAGAGAAGCCCACTGGGGCCAGCGAGGGGACACGGCCAGCAGAGACTGTTCTCCTGTCTCTTTCCCTCTGCCTTACAGCCAAACCTGCCAGAGAAGTTGGGTCTGTTGAAGAAGCAGGAAGAAGGAGGTGCTCCTGAGTTATTGTGGAGTTTGTTACCGTACCATAACCTAGCACATCCTGGCGGATACAGGAGCCCGAAGTCATGAACCCTGGGGCACAGCACTTATTTGGAAGCAGACCCTCCGTCTCCAGCAGAGGTAAGTGAGGGGGGTACGAGACAGTCACTGGTTGAGACCAAGCCACACCGAGGTGAGGACTTGGGAGCAGCCAAGGAGCAGAGCAGACCTTGTACACTTCAAGCCCTTCGGCTCTTTGCTGGCCTGGTGCTGGAGGGAGGGAGGCTTCCTGAGACTGGAGTTTTATTTTAGACAGATTTGAATAAATTAAAATGACCAGGAAGTTAAGGAATCTGCCATGGTTTTGTCATGGGCTGTGCAAACCAGGGTAAGGGAGGTTTATCAAAGCCAATGTCATCACCTAGCAAAATAAAGTTATTTCTTGCCCCCCCCCCCCCCCCATGCAGCTCAGAGGGTTCAATAAATTGGCTACTGTTGTCTCAATAAGAGAACAGTAACACCTACCCTGATTATATTCAGGGCACAGTTGTGAAGGCAGCAGAGAAAAACCTATGAGAAAGCTGAAAATTGTTCTTTTTAAAATTTTTTATCCTTACCCGAGGACATATTTTTGTTTTTTGTTCAGGTAGAGTGGGAAGGAGAGAGAGAGAGAGGGAGAGAGAGAGAGAGAGAAAGAGAGAGAAACATTGATGCGAAAGGGACACATCGAGTGTTTGCCACCTGCCCGACCCAACCAGGGCCGGGGACAAACTGCAACCGAGGTACATGCCCCTAGCAGGAACCGAACCCGGGTCTCGGGACCGCAGGCCGACGCTCCAACCACTGAGCCAAACCGGCCAGGGCTAAAAATTATTCTTAAAAAAATGCTTATTTTAATTTAATTTTTCAGTGATAGTTTACATTCAATATTATTTTGTATTAGCTTCGGGCATACAGCATAGTGGCTAAACAATCATATACTTTATAAAGTATTTTTCTCCGATATTTCCAATATGCACCTGGTACCATACATACTTATTACAATATTATTGACTGTATTTCCTATGCTATAATTTACTTCCCCACGACTGTTTTGCAACGACCAATATGTACTTCTCGATCCCTTTACGTTTTCACCCATCCCCTCAACCCCTTCCCTTCTGGCAACCGCCAGTCTGTTCTCTGTATTTATGGGTCTGTTTCTATTTTGTTTGGTTATTTTGCTCTTTATATTTCACATATAAGTGAAATCATATGGCACTTGCTTTTGAGAGAGCTGAGAATTCTATATGATAGAAATGGAGGTGACGGGACAGACGGGGTAGGGGGGAGCTGGGGGTAAGGGGGAGGGAGCTGGGAGTGTGGAGCTAGCGGCCTAGTGCTCCACCGGGGATCCCTCTGCATCTTCCCAACCAGTCAGTGAAGACTTTGTCATTTTTCCCCTAGAGAAATGGAAGCTCAGAGAGGTTCAGAAACTTGTCCAAGGTCACACAGCTTGGGTGAGTCAAGATCAAGGTTCAAAATTCAATCTGCCTTCCTCTAAACCCCATGCTGGTGAGTTGACCAAGGTGGATGTGGGGATGGAGAGAGCTACCTCCCCACAGGGGGATGGAAGTACTGGGTTAGGGAGGGTGGGAAAGGGTGTGGAGTGGGAAAGCAAATACGCTTTACGGGAGCTACTTCCTTTATTTCATATATTTCAAATTTCCTAAAAATATCAAGGGGCATGCCTTGTCGATCGAAGTGGAGCATCAGACATCACTGATGGTCTTCCGCTGCCCCCACGGGGGATGGGATGGGGGACACCTGCGTACGTACAATCTGGTCTCCGCCTGTGCTCCTGGGCTTCTTTTCTCCCTTCACACCTTCCACCACCTGTGGCTTCTGCATCCCCCAGAAGTTGTGTATGATGCCGAGAACCTGTAGCATTTTCCTTACCCTGAGGGGTGTGGCTGGAAATCCTGCCAGACCTTCGGAGCCTGCCTGCCTCCGGAGCTGGGGAATCGGCCTTGGAAGCCAATGGGACATATATTATTCAGGTGGACAGCTTAAGGGAAGTGCCTACAGGTTAAACAAAGTCTGAGCAGTGAGCTCAAAGGAATATGCTTTCTCCAGTTATCCCAAGAGCAGAGGCCAGAAGGGAACATACAAAATGCAGAAATAGAAGCAACGTCTGATAACAGCAGATGTCACAAAATGATTAGCTTCCATACACCACTGCCATAGCCCATCGATTCTATTTATAGCAGTGATGGTAAAAGGAACATATCATCTTTAGTACTTTACCATGTGTTAGGATCTGCTCTAAATACTTCCTGTAATTATCCTGCAGTCCTGTGACTAGAGGATCATCCAATCATTTATTAAAATAATTCATTCAATGAATACTTATTGGGCTACTACTATGAGTCAGACATAGCTCTTGTTCTCCTTCAGGTTTTAATGTCTATTGGGTAGAGATAGAAAATAAACAGATAACCGAAGACATATAATACTACAAATGTGGGCAGGGATAAGGGCCAGAGCCAGGCTTTAGAAGGTGACAATCAGGGCATCGTGGACAGGTGACACTGGAGTGGACACATGAAAGAAGTGAGGGCGTGAGCCACTTTGGAGAAGAGCATTCTGGGTAGTGGGAAAACCAAGGGCAAAAGCCCCTATAAGAGAGCAAGATGAGTGTGCTCGATGAACTCTAAGAGGTCGAGCAATGAGGGAGAGAAAGGACAGAAAGGTCAAGGGTTTGTCAGGAAGATTAAGAACAAACAATGTAGACGTCAGGAACATTAAGGACAAACAAATCTGAGATGAAGGGGCTAGTGAGGAAGGAGAAGGATGAAAGGGAGGGATGTT